AAAATTTCATAATTATTAACAACTTACAATAATTGAATAAACCTTATAATTAAAAATTTAACACTTTAGAATACAATTATCTTACTTTTAAATTATTTCAAATTTATTTGAAACATTTCAAACATTCAATATAAGTACGGAGAACAGTAAAATGAACAGCTTCAAGAATCATTCATACTTTCCTAATCTTGTTTTATTCATCTCACTTTTTTTGCGGAAGGGGCTGGAGTATTTGAAAATAAATCCTAGCCCTGGCCGGTTTGGCTCAGCGGTTAGAGCGTCGGCCTGCGGTCCTGAGAGACCCGGGATTGGTTCCCGCTAAGGGCACGTACTTCGGTTGCAGTTTGTCCCCGGCCCTGGTCGGTTGTGCGGGTGGCAGCCACTCGATGTGTCCCTTTCACATCGATGTTTCTCTCTCTCTCTCTGTTCCTCTCTCTCCCTCCCACTCTACCTGAGCAAAAAATGGAAAAATGTCCTCGGGTGAGGATAAAAAAAAAAAAAAAAAGAAAATAAATCCTAGACATACTTTCACCCAAAATTCCTCATTATGCATCTCTAGCAGATAAGAACTGAAGAGGAAAACATAACCACAATGCCATTACCGTAAACATTTAATAAAATTAATAATTTCTTAACATGTATATCAAGTCTACATTTTATTTCCCTGACATGTTGCAACAATGCTTTTTTTTTAGCATTGATTTACTCAAATCAGAGCCATACAAGATCGAAACATTGAATTTGGTTTACTAGGCATTTAAAAAAAACTTTATTTACATTTGACCTTCATATTAAGCCGATGAAAAATGTATGGTCCTAGTTTACAGGTGGGTGAACTAGGGCTTAGCGAGGTTAAAAAAAAAACAAAACCTTTCCAAGGTCTCATTGCTGATAAGGCCCAGACCCAGAATTTGAATTAAGATCTGCCCAAGTTCAAAGACTCTATTCTACTCCTTTCACCTTCAGGTTCCCAGATTTTTTTCCTGTGTTGCAGAGACAAGAGGGCTAGTGGTTAAGACAGAGGGTTTGGGTTCAGGTTGGCCTGGATTCAAATGGAAGCAAGTTATGTAATCTCTCTGATACTCCAGTTCTGTCTGCATCTGTAAAATAAGAATACTGTAATGATGATGGTTTGGGGCTGACTAAATAGGATAATGCATGTCTAATACTTAACACAGTGCTTGGCACATAAATTATTATTATTATTAGTGTAATGGAGGAGAAAAAACAACAAAGTGTTTGCTTTTATTAGTAGCTCAAGAAACAGTGGCTCATGTTTGTTAATACAATCTGTTTAGGATTTGAGGCTGAAGGGTTGGGAAGGGCGGGAGTAGGGCGATGATTCTGCATGGGTTAGAGAAGGAAGCCCTGGACATAAAGTATTAAATAGGCATCCAAGGAGTCCTCTGGAGGTCTCAGCTGGAAAACAGTTAAACATGTCTTCTGAAGGCTAACCCTGATTGCCTCCACAGAGGGAAAAACAGTGGGTGGCAGACAGGGTGGGAGGGAGACTTCTCAAAGTTTATTTGAATTTGGAATCATATGAATGCATTAAACCTATTCCAAAAAATGAATTGCATTAAAAAAAAACACCTCTTCTACTATAGGGATAAATGCTGCAAATGGGAAGACTAGGATCTAGTGATAATAATAATAACCCCGTTACTTTTTTTTCAGTCCTAGGAGGGCTTTGGTCATTCAAGGCAATAATTGCACCAGGACTGGGACTATTTCATTTTGATTCGAATTTCAAAGATCCAAGGTAATGTTTTAATTTCAGCTGTGTTCCCTCTGACATTCATTCCAAGAGTTCACAACCAGCAGTCACAGACTTGGGATTATTCACTCCTGGATTGTCTTCAAGCATATTCATTGTTGAGGGTTGAATCTATTGGCTAAATAAGGTCTTAATATGTATTGTTTGTGCATTTCCCAGGGTTTTAGGCCATTTTTGATGCTTACATCAGTTAAGACTCTGGGGACCTAATTTTCTAGAGTCCTTGGGAGGGGGCACATAACCCCATTCGCAAACAATCAAGAACTTGCCTAGATACTGTTCTAAGGTCTTTACATATATTAACTCAAACCTCATAACACTACAAATTAGCTACCACGATACAGATTTTACAGTCAAACAAACAGAATCAAGTAAGATTAAGTAACTTGCTCAAGGTCAGAGCCTACACAACTAACCATCAGGTAATACTACCTCTGTGTTGGTAGTGGCCAATCATGTAGGATTCCTTTGAAGGTGATACAAGCATCCTTGGCTGTGTAGCAGCAATACCTCGAGTCCCAAATCCCAAATCCTTCTCTGCAGCTTCTGGTTTAGGAGCAGGAAAGGCCAGGGTGTGAATTTCCGCCCTGACCTCGGGCAATTTACTTACTCCTGTCAGCTTCAGGTTCTTTATCTGGGCCAGGGAGGAGCTTTAGATTAAAAGCCCTCTCCCCCATTACGTGTGCGTGGGTGTGTGCTGGGGGTAGGGAGATGGAGGGGCCGAGGTTTCTGGGCGGTGCGCTGCTTTTTCCAGGTCTCTTGAGGAAACGCTGTTTTGAGGGTCTGTCCACCTCCCCCCCAGGAGGTCAAGCCCAGGCAGCGATGGCGCTCACGCTTGGCTATTACTCCTCCGCTTGGAAAAGGGCTGCCACTGGGGCCAGCTCCGACATAGCCGGGAGGTCGAGGGTGGGTCTTTTCTCTGAGGGAGTTAGAGATGATGCATCCTCAGGATGGCTTCTTGGAGGTAGTGACAGTTGCGTCCAGAAGGTTCAGCAGGAGTTAGTAAGAGGAGGAGGAGGGGGAAGGGTTAGCGTCCCCCACCCCACCCCCAGCCGCAGAACAAAGAAGCACGGCCGGCTTACAGTACAGGAGGAGGAGCTGTGAGAGTGGAGAGGTCTGTAGAGGCGAAATCACACCGGGGCTTCAGGGCTTGGCTTTATTCTAAGAGCAATTGAGAGGGCTTTGGAGGAATGTAGTCAGGAGTTTTAGAAAGATACTCCAGACGCTTGGGAAGAATGGGTCGGAGGAGGCCAGGAGACTATCACAGAATGCTGTCCGGTTGCAAGATGACAGACGACTGAGGAAAGGGGGGTGGGGGGACGGGGACCGAGTATCTGAGCCTTCCTCAGTCTCCGCGACACTGCGCGCCACCCCTCGACTTTCTTTGCTTATGTGGAAGGGCCCCATAGGGGGCTGGGCACCGGCCAAAGTCAATGAGAAGAGCCTAGACTAGAGCTCTCTCTTTCGAGGAGTCTGGTCCAGGTGCTACAGAATCGGAAGGGTTATGCGGTGGAACTCATCACTGCTGAAGATGGAGAGCCGTTACCCCTCAAAATACACAAGAACCTCCGCTGCTTTTGGCAGCAGCCTCCTCCGCCCATGACCTCATGCTTTAAGCTCCTATATATCCTTCCCCCCAGCCCTGTCCACACCCAGCGCCGAGTGGGGGTGGGGTGAGGGACAGTGGCGAATGTCTGGGTAGCGGGAACACCTTATTTATCCTACGTGACATTTGGGGGAAGGGGCGCACCGATCTCCCCTTACTGCAAAAAGCATGGTTTAACTTTCCTTTGAGCAAAAAGGACTCGCTGTCTTGTGCCTTCGACGGGATAGATGCCTCCAACCGGCTCGAGGTGGTCTGTTGAGCCAAACCATCTTTGGTTCACGTTTCCTCGAACCAGAAAACAAGTCTGGAAATGCTGGGTCCCGGGCTGGACCGACAGGCGGCCGCGCTTTGGCGGGACCGGGGGCTGTCCTGTACTCGCCCTCCTGGCGCCGCCAAGGTTTGAACCCCAGGCTCCCCTTTCAGCCCGCGCCCTGCCCCCTGCTCGCAGCTGCTCTCAGTCAGGGTGCAGCGGTTTCCCCCGCAGAGGAGGAGGAACAGGCAGCGTGAGGAGCGACTCCCAGCTCGGGTTTCTGCACCAATGCCGAGCAGCCCCGGGCGGGCCCCGGCGGCCGTCCCTCCTCCCCAGCACCACGTTCCACAGTCATGGCGCGCAAGGAGGGGCGAGCGCGCTTCGCTGCTGCACCCCGGCCTCCTCCCCTCTGCTGCCCAGCCCGTCCCCTCTCCTAGGCAACCTCCCTCCCTAGCCTGCTGCGCAGTAGAGATGGAGACCCCTCCCCAGAGAGCTGAGTTTCCAGTGCCGCCTGCGCCACCCGCTCCCCGCCCCCATCGAGGCGGAGGGATGGAGCCGCGCGCTTCGCGAACCTCCAGCCCCTTGCCGGGAGCCCGGCCTCTCTTCCAGCCCCACCGAGGCCCGGGTGCAGGGGTGGGGGTAGGTGCAAACCATCTCCCTGCAGTCTACCTAAGACCATAGCATCTTTGCAGCCCCTCAAACAAAATAAAACCTAAACCCAAACCCCAGTCGTTAGATTGCAAAGCGCGTTACAATAACCAGGACGGCTACGGCTACGCAGGAAGCAATCCTGCACTGGTCCGGTTCTAAGGCGGCAGCTTCCCGGCCACGCCGCCTTCTCCTGGGCCTCGATTTTCCGGCCACGCCGGAGTCTGCCACACCTCGATTTGCTGACAGGTCCCACGAGGGGCCGCAGCTCATTCCGCGTCCCCCGCCCCATCCTCGTCCAGGTCTCGCCAGCCTACAAAAGGTGCAACCTCATGCACATGCAGAGCAAACAAATAAGGTCGGCAGCGCAACGCCGGGAACGCTCTGAACAATGCGTGCGGGCAGCCCGGGCCCGCCGAAGCGAGGCGCCCCGGGGGACACGGGGCGCGGGCGGGGGCCGCGGCGCAGGACCCGCGGGCCGAGGCGCTGGACACCTTACTTCCTGCTTCCCCGCCCGCAGCCAGACCCAGCTCTGCGGAGGGATATCTCTCTCCTCTTCTGTCCCCCTCTCTCCCTTCCCCCGCCCTCCCCCTTTTTGCTTCTGCCCCCCCCCACCCCGCCTTTCTCCTTTTGCAAGAAAATAATTTGACAGTCGATTTGCTGACAGGGGAGGAATTTGCATCCTGGATTAAAAAAAAAAAAAAAAAAAGACCGAGAGGAGCTTGGGAACGGTTGCTAGGGGTGGGTAAAGGGTGAAAAAAGGGGGTTGCCGGGGAGCGGATAAGAAGGGTTAAGGGAGGGGCGAGGATGGGGAGCAATGCAAAAGGTAAGGCCAGGTTACCGCGGCTCGCCCCGAGTGGGCTGCGGCCGGGGGAGGGGCGAGAGATACATATGTATTTCTGTCTCCTTAGCACACCCCCTTCCCTCTAAGCGATGGCTGAGAGGCGGTGCATGCAGATGGGGAGTAAGTTTCCTGAAGGGGAGGGTGGTTGCACGCGCGCGGCCCCGCGCTGCAAATTTCCACCGGGGAGGGAGAGTGGCTGGATGCGGAGAGTTTGGAGTTGCTTGCGGCGGAGGGCAGGAAGGGGAGCAGGGCCGGGAAGGGGGCTGGCGGGCGCTATATCTGGGAGTAAGTTTCCAGGATCAGGAGAGCCTGCACGCTTGCTCATTAGTAAGTTTCTGGCTGGGGAGGGCTGGTGGGGCGGAGGAGAGGGAAGGGTGCATGTATATAGAAGGGGGAGGGGGGAGCAGATTTCCTGCGGGGAGGCTGAATGCATATGGAGAGTAGATTTCCTGAAGGGAGGGTGGAGGCGTAGACGGACCGAGTAAGTTTCTTGCTAGGGTGGTGGCGGAGGTGGTGGGTTGGTGCTTTGGAAACCTGGAGGTTCCTACCCGGGTTGGGGAGCATGTTGTTGGGTGGGGGTGGGAGAGGGCGAAGCACCAGGTTCCCTGTTGGGGAGAGGGGCTTGCATCTGGGGAGTATGTTTCCTGGCGGAGCGATATTTGTTTACAGGCTGAGGGCAGTACTGTAAGTGAGTAGCGCTTCGAGAAGGCGGCTCTGACATAAATTAATATTGAAATTACTCCATCAGCTCTGCTTGCCCCCCATCTCACCCCCCAAGCGGAGACTGGTCTTCTTGTTGGATTGCCCATGCACTTGTTGCAGAAACAGCCAAGGTAGGCAAGAAGCTTAAGTTTCATTTAAAAAAAAATTAGTTGGGGGGATGCTCCGTGCGAAGATGGGGGAGGGGAAGGGACAGAGTGGGGGGACAGGGAAGGAAAAGTCTCCCCCCACTTTACTTTCAGTATGTTAACGGGGCCTTCTCACTGCTTCCCTTCTTCCCTCTCTCCCTCTCTGTGCTGCATGGCATCCCAGCAAAGGGGGAGGGGTGCGATGGGCGCTAAAATTGGCAGACCCGGCTTAAAGGGTAGTGGTGGCTTACACTTGAAGGTTGTGATGTTATAAAGCCTTCATTCTTCCAGCCAAGAAACCGCAGGACCCTAGGGATGTGCCTTTTGGGGTTTTTGACATGATGCATATATGTATATATATGCGCCTGTGGGCTCTTTGGGGGCCGGGTACCCCCCAGAAGTTAAAGTGGCCACCCAGTTGAGAGAAATGTGTGAGGGGGTAAACCTGCCCCTCCAGTCCCAACTTCAGTTTGGAAACTGGGAAGTTGTTGCTGGTGATCTAAAGAAATAGATATTAGAAAACAACACAAAACCACCCATTCTTTGGCGGAGGCCGACAGCACCTGGCCGGCAGCCTCTGGTCAACGCTGGGCTAGGGCATGTGCGCCTGCCATCCTTAGGTTAAAAGAAAATGATTTCTGATTCCTTCGTGTGCCTTGCACTGGCCTGTTAGAGCCACCTTTGTGGAAACTCTTCCCAGACCAGACGCGGCTTTGGCAAGTGAACGTGCGTTTTGAAGCAGGTTGCTAACAAGCATGGCCTGGGCTGTCTTGTAAAAGTGCATGGAAGTGATGCTTAGAAATGACGGATCCAGGGACGGCTGAAGAGTTATTTAAAAAAACGAACAAACAAAAAACTCTCCCAAAAGCCGGCTAGGTGCACTTTTTAGCAGAGCTTTAAGAAAGGAGTTTCCAGCTGTCCCAGTTGGTACCAACCTTCTGCATTCATTAAACGTTTCAAGAAAGCAGTCTGGTCACAAACGGTGTGGTTTTGTGCCCACTGGAAGGATAACAAGCAGAGGTACTCAGCGGTTAACTAGTTAACCAGCAGTCCTTGCTTCTCCCTCCCTCTGTTTTCCTGGTACTCAGCCTGCTGGTTTCTGCAGATGGGTTGTAGGTCTTGGCTGTCAGGTACCTGGGATTATGCTGGGAGTTTTAACTTTGCCAGGATAATTTTAGCACCAGAGGTTTAAACCCAGACATGCTTAGTAGGGTCAGGGAATAAATACTAGGCAGTGTGGTTAACTAAAGTTGGTTAAGCTTTCTGCAGTTCTGTCGCCAGGCTCAATTCTAGTAGGGGAAAAAATGGGTTTAAAAATATTTCTCTACATGTTACTGATGGACAGTGCTTGCTTGCTTTCCTTCCCGTTATCAGATTTCCAGATTGAGAATTTGTTAATTTGGCATCTTGAGAGTTGACTTAGTTAGGAATTAAATATTGTTGCCACTTATCAAATGTTCTTAACTAGGCATTAAACAAATTAGCTATTATTTTTTTTCCCTGCTGAAAATCTGGGTTTGGTTGGTATATATGCAGAGAAGGTAAACAAAATCTTTGTGTGTGTTTATTCCAGGATAGTGGAATTATTGACATGCCTACCCTCAAAGCCAAGAGCAGTCATCCAGGGTTTTTTTTTTTTCCTCTTATATTTATGAGATTTATTTTATTGTCTTGCTTTGGCCATTAATCAAGTCACAGTAGCTTCTTTTTTTCTCTTCTGCTGAGAATGTTCTTGGGGTAATAAAGGTTTGAAGGCCCATGAATCATAATTCATTCTTTTAAAAACATTGTGGTGATTGTCAGGATTTGATTTATAGGAATTGATACAGGGAGTGACACAGCTCTTTGGGCCCCGCCCTTTTAGGCATGTCCATTTTTGCCAAAGATTTGTTGAGAAGCTAGCTTGACATCTCAGAAAAGAGTGTTTCACGTCTGCTTTATGGGCATTGAGAAGAAGATTAATTTTACAGGTTCCATAGTAAACATGAGTCTTTTCACAGCTTGGTAAGCAGGCATCCACATAGCAGGCATGTGTTAATATCACATAGCATTTATGTGAGCTTGCTGTGAAAACAGTTGTTCTATGAACTGTGTGGAAAGTACTCAGTTTTGCTTCCTTTAACCCGCTTGGGCTTGTGGTTTTTGTTGAGGTAGGAACATTCATTATAAATGAGGAGACTGCTGCTTATATAATAACATGTGTGGTCACAAAAACAAAGCTTATTTATAATATTCTTTTTCTCATGCTTTGATGGTTGGGATGGTCATAATAATCAAAAGCATTGTTTTTTGGGGAAAGTGTAAGGATTCTCCATAAAGTTGACTAATCAGAAAGCGTTAACATTTGTCTTGCATTCAGTAGTTGGCTCAAGTATACAGTGTCTGTAAAGTGACGAAGTTTTTTTTGTGACGAAGGTGATTTGATGCTCAAAGCAGGAGGGAAATGTCACTGAAAAGTGCGGAGGGTTAAAAATGCACAGTTTGATCTGTGAGTTCCATTCGTGTCTGAAATTCTATCACTTGGTCTTGTGGAGAGAGGTCTCCAGAGGTCTCGACAGTGTCTTCCTGGGCCAACGGCCAAATTGCTTCATGGACTTGGGCGAGTTGATTAACTTCTGTTTTTGTCTTCGCATGGAGAGAGTGGATTTGTACCTTGGCATTCCAAAAAGGACTCTTGAGTCGCCTGGTAATCTTGACCGTCAGCGTAAGGAAATACTGATGAAAGTCTGCCACCATCTTGGGGGGGGAAAAGTGCATGGTTGATTACCTAATTATATGTGCTAATAGAGAGTGGCACATAATCCCAGGCACCAAAAATAATTTTAGTTCATCTTGGAAGTTTCCCCTGCAGCCAGCTGGTTCACCTGTCTAATTAGGCTTGATCAAGTCTAAGGTTAATTGAGCAGACCAGAAAGCTTAGTGTGGCTTTACCCACTTTCTGTGGAAATTCACACGTGGGTAATTGGAATTTGTTTGTACATTTGCCATAGGGTTCACGGTAATGATATTGTATTACTGTTGCTTCTGGGATATCTCATGTTTCACTGTGGGCATTTTTTGGGGAAAAGCTCTTGATGTTTTTATTGACTTTGAACATTGACATGTAAAGTAAGGATCCAGACCTGTGGCTCAGACCCCAGGGTATACAAATTTGTGCTGATTTTCCTGCTCTAAAAGCATTTGAATTCAGTTCATTTTACCTCTGACTTCATAAAACTGTGTGATTTAGGGAGGAGAGAGGATCAGAATCAGCGGGGGTCTTGTGGGTTAGTAATATTTCTTAATTTGCATGTTTAAGGGGAACCAGTAAAATAAAGGCGAAATTAAACAGTTGCTTTCTTTTGTGGGGAGAGGGAGGCAAGGGCAGCTGGTTCTGTTCTTGGGCATACTTTTCAGCAAGGCCACTCTGGCGTTTTAAGGAATAATATAGGCTTGATAACATGAGTTTGATTCCATGGCTCTCTTCATCTGTTTTTTTCTTTCTGGGTTAAATAAAATACACAACAAAAAGACCATGTGACATTTTATAAGAATTTTCAAATTCTCTGGGCAGCCGCTGGTAGGGCGCACTGGCTAATTTGGGTTTACTGAGAAAATGGATGATTTTTGCTTTTTCCTCGTGGAAGATAGGCTGAGAATGGGTAGGCCATGCCGAGCTATTGGGCTTTTTGGTTTAGCAGTATTAAAACTTTTTTTTTTTTTGATAGAGAGGAAGGGGTAAAAAGAACTTGTGTGCCCAAATGGCAATGATAAGTCTAGGCTCACAAACGGTAACACTTATTTTCATGCCATGACCGACTCTGGTTTATTCATTTGTACGCTCGGCCGTTACTTACTGAGCACCTACTATTTGTCAGGCACTAAGTTTAGGCTCTGGGAATACGTTGATAATTCAAGGAGGCATAATCATTTCCCTCTACCCATCCCCCAACCTTCCCCTAGTTTACAGTCCAGAGGAGAGGTTGACATGTAAAGATATATATATTACAAAATGTGAGAAATGCTCTGATGAAATCCCAGGGAGCAATGACCTGGACTTACTTAGCTAAAAGCAGCCAAGAAAAGCCTCTCTGGGGATTGAGGGTGGCAGAAACAGAGGGCACCAGGCAGAGGGGAGCCTTGGTGGAAGGCCTTTGGCTTTGGGGGTAACTGAAAAGAGGCACAGGTGGATATCTGGGAGGGAGAGAGGGCACATGAGATGATTGATCATGCAGGGCTCTGGGATCCTTGAAAGGTTTGGGTTTCATTCGAAGTATAGTGGGAAGTCATTGAAACTTTGCAGGGAGAAGTGACAACCCCTGACCAATGCGCTAGTGGAGAGGGGCAGGTGTGGAACAGGGAGCACAGCAATGTATGTGGCAGTTGAAGCAGGTCAGGTGAGGAGGTGACGGAGGTGAATGGAGGGGCTGGTGGGTGCGGGATGAACATTAAAGGTAGAAGGGGCAGGTCTTGCTGATGGATTTGGTGGGGGGTGGGGAGGAGGAATCTAGGATAACAGGTTTGTGACTTGAGCAGTTGGGTAGATGGGTGGTGCTATTTGCTGAGATGGGGAAGAGGGAGAGGGAGGGTACAGAATCGTGCTGTTTCAGTTCGGGCCCCTTTGAATTTGAAATGCCTGTTCAGTTCAACGTGGAGAGGGTAGGCAGGCAGTCTGATACAGCATCCCGTGCCAGAGGACTGGCCAGGCAAGAGATGAAAATGTGTGAATCGTCAGCCAGGGGGAATATTTTATACCAGGAGACTGGTGGACAAGTCCTAAGGAGCCTGGAGGCAAAGGGCAATGTGTATGTAGGTGTGTGTGATAAGGCCAGAAAAATCACTAATGGATTTGGCCAAATGGAAGCCATTGGCAACTTAGAGAACAGTTTCAGTGGAGGGAGGGATTGGGTAGGAGCAGTGTTGGAGGGGGCTGGCAGGGGAATGGGAAGTGAGGAACTGTTAGTAGCATGTGTAGACAACTTTTGGGCAAAGCTTGACCAGGAAGG